TAATCATTCGTTTCTTGATAGTGATGACGAAATAAAAAAAAGAAGAGGAAAAGCATTCAACCCTTTATGAATTCATTTACGAGCGCGATTCCTATGGCATGCATAAAAATTCGTGAATGACGAGGCAGCTATGAAATTTTGAGGGAGCACAGCCAGCTGCTACAAACCCTCCAGCTATTGTTTCTTCGTTTATGTGTCGGGCAACCTCCTAAATTGGAAGGCATAACCGTTTTTGCTTGACGAATTTCGTGCTTGCGTGTTATATGTTGAAAAATATAGACGTTTTACTTTCAGGACAGCAGTCGCATGATGGTATATGATGATCCGTCTTTCAATAAAAAGAATATAGAATAACGTATTTTTAAAAAAATATATACATATATACAGTTTCTCATATTTTTTATGCAAGTCTGTATATAACAAAAAACCCTTACAAACTTAAAAAATCTGATACTTAAATATCTCTTTTTTTTTTAAATTAAATATTCTGTTTTAAAAATTCATAAATTTTGATTTTTTTCTTGATTGAAGTTTCGCAGTCTCTGATTATGACATTCAATAATGACAAAAGACCATTTTTCATCGGAATAATCTGCTTCCTCAAACGAATAAAACGTTCGACAGATGTTGAACGTGCTATTCTGAATGATCCGGGATAAAATTTTACAGGAAGAGAAAAAAAAGAATTGTACGTGATACTCCGTATATCAGAAGCTCGGGGGTGGATCCAGGCGAGCGATCGATAAGTCTCGATCTCGTGCGTTTAACAGGCTGAAGGGAAATCGCCGCGATTCGGAGTGACTCGCGAAATTTCGGGGGGGCAAAATGGCCCGTTACTTGGATGAAAATCGATTATGACGAACGATCCCTTTTACCAGGCTACTTCTCAACTAGCGTATGGAACCTGTATATCTTGACGCTTATGGAAAATCTTGAACAGCGCGTTTATGAAGGATGGTGGGACACGTGAGCAGGAAGTGAGATCGATTAGTTCCCTTTGTCCTGGCTCTTTCTTCCGTGGAGAAAAACACAGTACGTCGATAAACGTCACTTAGAAGCACCCGTGTGGCACATCCATCTCTTTTAACCGCAAAGTATGACAAAGCAGGATATTTTTTTTGTGTTTCAATTCTTTTTTTTTTTGCACAAAGAACTCGTAATCAGAATTCAATCGAGATATGAAGAGTAATTTTAAAGAAGAATCCGCATTTATTATTTAAAACTCGTTTTCTCTTAAAAAAGAAAAGTATTCTAATGCACACAAATGGAATATTATAAAAGAATGAAATTTCTGCAGTTGTATATATAATATTTACCTGGATATGTAAAAAAAATATTTTTATATTGTTTTTCTGAAGCGGGATAATAAACGTTCGGTCATTATTTTTAATAGAAATTTAACAAAAGTTTGATGTATAAAAATATATATGTATTTATGTATATTTTTGTGCTACTATTACATCTATTATTTTATAAAGTATCTTTTCAATCTGTTATTTTAAAGCATCTTTTTTCCATTTTAATAAATCAATATGTACATTTCTCAAATATAATATACGAAATAAACGAATCACATGTAATAAAATTGTTCTATATAGTTGTGTATATTTTCTATTTTCGGAAATGCCTTAAATCTTATGAAAGGGCCAATTGAAAATCCGAATATTTCTTTAATATACAACTCGCACGATTTCTTCTGCTTTTGAAATTTCGATGTTATTTTTCCACGAGCTCGCGTATGTTTAGATCGAAACGAAAGTCGATGAAGGCAACATCACCGTTAAAGGCCGAGAACAGGAAATTTAATGGAATATATTCGTGCATTGAACACACATTGCATACGCGTTGGAAAGCGCGGAGAAGCGCGGAGAAGCGCGGAGAAGCGCGGAAAAGCGTCCGGGAATAATCTCGGGAATATTTTTCCACCGAGAGTTCCAATTTACCACGCGACTCGCGTCGGCTAAGCTTTTAATTAAAAACATCAACGTTGCCATATGTGTGCCTCTATTACACACACACATCGTATCAAAGACATTGCAAAATACGATATTTCGAAGCTTCAAAACATTTTGAAAAAAATAGAAGAAAAAGACACGTCGACATCATGTAACTGAAGTTTCCGTATGGGGTCACGGGCTTGTGGTTTCGATTTATGACGTAAGGGCGTCATGGCGTGCGTAATTGCGATGCAGCCGCCTTTGTATGAGCCAGGTCACCATTCTATATTTAATATCGATAACGAATACAAATCCTCATAAATTGTTCGGTGGGTCTATTCAGCGGCAGCGAAATGTAACGGATAACAACGTAATTTTCTCGCGCGATATTATGCGGCGATAATCTGCAATAATACGCAAGATACGCTTTCATTAACCGCAGCTTGTGATACCAATCAGTGTCACATTTATCATGTTTTACGCAAGTTAATTTACTAGCGCCGAAAACACATATCACAATTAGAGAACACGTTCCTGAAAATTATTTCAATGATTCATTTTAATTACGATTTATTTTAATTATGAATCATTTTAATTATAATTCGCAAAAGGATAATTCAAAGGATTTAAAAATAATTAAAATGATGTTTGAATCTTTCAGTTGATATTTCGTTTCTTTCATAACTTCACGTTCAAAAAACAAAAAATAAATCATTTTTAATAAATTCAATGAATTCAAATATTGAGAATATTGAGAAAAACTTGATTTTTTTCAATAACAGATTCGATAAACACTATTTTTTTATTAATTTTTAGGAGATATTAAAATGTTACATTTTATCATCCCTTTCTGATTAATTCGACAGGATCAAATATTTTTTTCGGATGTTCTTAACAATCTCGAGCGAGAATGAATAATTAATCAAGATTAGGGATTTATTATAGTTAGAGCTATTTATAGCATTCTGGACTCAAGATCGGCTTTCAAAATTCACTGTAACCGATTTGCAGGCGTAGAAAAGAAGAATAGCCAGCGAGACAGATGGCAGCGGAACTTTTATTCCCGTCGCGGTCTTAAGAAATCTTTTCGAAATCTTTAGAATACAGTTGGGAGCATCCGTGTCGAGGTTCGCATCTGCGAGAAATGGATCGACTTCCTTCCTCCCGCTGCCAGCTGGACCAAGCATATCGCACGACATCCCGGGAATTACGCGAGCTATAAATCATTTCGTGAGATGTGCGCGCTGTTTTAAATATTATTAATGGATCACGTATGTATATGTATATATATGTATTAATGTAAGATTTACGTGCAAGAATAAATCAATATCTCATTATAATTACAGTCATCTCCTTCCTGCTTTTGAATATCATAATATTCCCTGTCCATGTCGTATTCAGAAAAAAATCTACGAAATTTTATGACTTGATCAATTAATTAATTTAGTTGAGTTCGAAAAATATTGAATATCAAACATTAAAAAGTTATGAAAAATAAAGAAATCTTAACTGATCGTTATGAGAAAGTAAACTTCGAGATGAATTTTAAATGGACGGATTCTAAATGAGAGATTACGTATGTAAATTTCTGTAGGATATTATATATAAATTAAAATTTTAAAAAGGAGACAATATTTGAGGCTCACGCCCGAATAATTCCGCAAATTATTCGCGCGAATCTCATGCAGCTTCGGGCAAGCACCGCCAGTAATTATGCGAAATATCGGGCTTCTCGCCGGATGAGCGGACGGCCCGTTGAACTTTTCGACGAGTTTCCCCTCATCCGGAACAAACTTTCGTAACGGTATCTAATGCTCGACCAAAGTGCCGGTGAATGCATCTCGTTTCTTCGTTGTCGGACTGAGAATAGCGATAGGGAGAAGTTTCGCGCGACCTTGCGGCGGAGAGAAGGCTGTTGACGTAATCGAGGAGATCCAGTAGCTTCCGGCCGAAAGTTTCCGCCAACGACGCTTGCGAAGTTCGCGTAATTTCGCCGACGAAATATTCCCCTTCTAATTTCCATAACAGGCCATTTCAAGAAGAAGGGAATCTGAGCAAGTTCGGAGATATCTTTCGCGAAGATATCTAGACCGCGCGAATTCTCGTTTCACGAAAAGTCCCTGCTCCTCGAGAAGATAATCAGAGGGAGGAGACAAGTTGTTCGGTCATTTGCGAAGCTTACTTCAAGGTCGCGAATGTAATATTTCCATTGTATGCAAAAGAGCCTGCGAGAAAGAGAGATGAATTGAATAGCGAGATCATTTTTCTTCCTAAAATTTCTTTTCGTAAAAGAGACGTTCTCTTTCTTTTAGAATTTGTTCTTTTTCCATCTTCGAAAATTTTCTTCTAAAGCTCCAGTAAAAACTTTTCTATTGAAATTATCAATCACAGAGAACTTTTGCAAATTTATGCGCTTTACGAAATGCGCGATTATTATTTCAAATGTAATATCCTATCAGCGTTGACATGGTATTTGATATTTTTCCTCCTTTGAATATTTTATTTATTTGGTTTACGCGTCGACATATGATAAAATATTAATATATTAATTTATGTGTAAAAATATCTCTATGCGTCAAGACCGATCATTCAGTCCATCTCAATGCGATTCATGTCGACCGTAAAACATTTAATTATGATGGTAATGGCAAATGCGATTAAGTCGATAACGAAATGTCGCACGTAATTATTAATATTACCACGTTTAACATCATCATAATGCGAAAATATTGGGTTTTCATACTAGGCCATTAGCGCACATAATCGACAAAGATCGATCGTGATTTACGCGACATTAATATTTTGCTATAAATCTTCCTTCTCTCTAAATAATTAATAATGTACATAATTTGGTATACATTCATATAAATAATAAATAAAATAATAAATAAAAATATTTAAAATCTAAAAATATATATTCTGCAAAGAATTTAATTGAATCTAAAAATATTTTTTGTTATATTGTTGCATTAATATCGTAACTAAAAATCTCTTCTTATGCAAATATATATAATAATTTTTAAAAAAATAGAAAAGTTACATGCAATCATTAAAACAACTTACCTGATAGCGTTGAATATCTCATGAAAGCCGGTGCCCTGATGGCTGCTGACGTCGCAAGTAGGTAGGGGGTGTAACAGGGGTAACCGATGACAGAGCACGCTGTCGCTATTACGCTTGCTGCTGCCATTGCTGTCTCGATCCCGATCGTTTTGCGGTAGAGGCCCGTTGCCAGTACCGGGTGCCGGGCCTAGGCCGAGACCCAAAGGAAGACGCGGTAGAGTAGCCGGTCTTGTGAGACTGCCGTAAGCCGCCAATGCACCTCTGGGCAATGATGAGTAGCAACGGTTCAACGGTAAAGTGCCGAGGGTGCTGGAGGCACAGCCGCTGCTTCCGGAACCGGAACCTGAACCTGAACCTGCGCGAAATTAAATCGTCAGTATAAAATAGATGCGGAAATTTGCTATCTAAAACTCTAAACTAAAGAAGTATATGTTATTTTAAAATTCTAAAGAAGTATTGCTATTTTAAAACTCTAAACAAAAACAAAATATTTATTTATTTATTTTATTTCGAAAGTAATTTTTCAATGATGGATTAATGAGATTTTTGCGAAATAATATTTAACATGATATAATTTGCTACTCATAAATTCATTAAAATTACTTTCGGATAAAGATAAATTAAAAATATAATTTTAAATATAATTTTAGTTTTTTACATATCAATAAAAAATATAAAGAAAAATAATCTTATATTAAAAAAATAATTTAAAAATATATTATAAAATATTTTTTTCAATAAAAAAAAACTTTGTTTCGATGTATGTTTTCTATTAGAAAGAAAATAGGTTTTTGTTTATATTTTCATTCTAAACTAAAGTGTTATTGCATTAAATAAAAAAGAGATAAATAAATTTATAAATACAATAAATTACATTTTGTTTCCTAAATTATTTGTTAAAACTGTAGCAAAAGAAAATTCTGATAATTGGAAAGTGAGAGAATAAATTAATGTAATTTGAACATGAAAATTCTAGACATAAATTTTTTTCTTTTTTAAATTTTAAAGCAGGATCTTTTTATAACTAAAATCAATTCATCGAATGTTTAGTTATTCGACCAGATTTCAGTTACAACGTTGAGAATTTTATCAACATTAAACTCGTAAACCATACGATAACATGTTGTTCTGCAATCGGGTCCGTTATGTAACGCGATCAATCAACGACAGGCCACGTAGGACGAGTTATCCGAGCAAAGCACACCAGCACGTACAATAATCGTGCCACCGTATCGAGCACGTTACAACAAACATTTCGTAATTACTAATTAAATTACGGAATGTTTATCACTATTTCGAGAGCAAACCCTATCATTGTATCCGTTTAGAATTGTGGTTCGCAGTGACGCGGATCCCTAAAAACGTCAAAATACATTATATAATACGTTATATCTTTCTATCTTATATAATATTATCTTTATTAGCTAATTATTGTATTATTTTTATAGGAAAATATAAAAATATGTAATTTATATTATAAACTGATATATAAAATGCAAATTGACGCGCTAATTTATATTAATTGAGAAAAGAGTGATTGAAATTTTATAAAAATGACGAATAAAATCTTGGAATTTCAAATAATTTAATAAAGAAATATATAGAATTCTTTTTCCCTGGAAATGAAATTAAAGGTTTTCTTAATCTTTCTCTCTTCCTATATCCCGTTTGTCTCCCATCGACCTACGACTATGTCGGTTACGTTAACGTCGCTCCGAATGTTCACCAGCGGATATGCAGTCCGGGCGAGATCTAATTCGGATCCCGTCGTTTGAGCATGGGGTTAACAAACTCCTTTTTGGACGTGATCTCATCTGGGACGTGTATATACGCGTCGGTCGGAGAAAATTAGACGTACGGGAAAATTCGAGGAAAGTGGCCCGTGAGATCCACGATGAATATTAATCCGAGGTGTTCGCGCTATGTTTCTTAATTTCAAAATTCGAGAATTATATTCGAATGAGTTAAATTGAGGGCTCGTATTACTCAATTTTTCTTCGCTCGACTTCAGAATCTTCGTATCGGTCTGTAATATCGCGGAGTTTGTACTCTCTTTGATCCTTAGAGCTTGCAAACTCTACTTTTTTTTAATCCTTCAGGCTTTAAGAAACTTGACTTCCTCCATCCTCGAGAAACTACAAAATGCCTAGTCATTTTTGTTTTCTCAGAAACTTTTATATTCTACTAAAAAATATAAATATATCAGAGAGATGCTTGATAAAAAATATTTTCTCTGAAACTTTTGTACCTGCATCCGGCGTGGCTCTTAGCCTGGGGAATTTTATTCGCGTTTTTGATAAAGATAATTTTCTCTCGTCTTTTTATTCGGCGATATCTCGAGTAATAATATACTGTAATAGCGGAAACAGATTACGGTAATTCTAGTAGTAAACATTTCCTTCAAATTCGATCCGACAACAACAAACACAATGGAGAGATGGATCAGTCGGTTGGATTTCAATCTACCGTATCGTTTCCGCCTTATTCAAAGCCAGATGCTTCTGTTCGTCTCCGGTTATTCCTGTATACGTACACTTACACGAACAAGGCGTGTGCCTGGTCTAACCCCGTTGAATTAATTACACGCCATCTACCCGGTGACGAGAAAGTCGCGTTCATCGGAAGGAAGCGAGGATTTCCGTCTTCGCTCGCGACAAACAGATGATATCTCATCTTCTTCTTTCTTCCCCTCACCCTCTCTCTACTCTCCGGAAAATTTCCAAGTTAAACTGTTAATAAGTATTAACTTTTGTTCATGAATTTTGCATGCACATACTCTTTCTTCGAGCGTGTATTTAGATACGCGATGCGAATGTATGCTCTCCCTCTTATCCTCGTCGTTGTTGAGGATTAAATTGATGGACATCGCCCGGGACATTGTCGGAGTTTCGCGTAATAGGAAGTTACATCGTAACTAGAACGTAAAATCGCGTTATCTCGCGCGATCATTCGGATGATGATGATTAATCCAACAAGGACTAGCGATTTCATAATCACGATGCTCGTGACTATGATTACGATAGTATTAATTATGTTGATTTATTAATGTAACGTTGTTTTAAAATAACAAAAGATATATTTAAAGCCGTAAAAATAAATTTAATTTAGATAATTTAAATATTTATGCAAAATATAATGAAATATAATGAAATATTTATGAAAAATATTTTGAGAAAGAGAAATATATATTCTTCTCTTCTCGTTATTTTTATAAAGATTGTTACTTTTGTTGATATAAAAATAATACCGCTTTGCAAACATCGTTTAATATTACTTGCTATATTAATTTAATATCTCGACGCGGTAAACCATTAATAATATAAAGTGCAGAAGTAAAAAAAATCTCCACTATGAAGGAATTTCGTTATAATAAAAAAGTATCGGTATGAAAAAGGTGTCCGATAACATGCGGCTTTGAACATCGACTAAAACCATCTTATGGCCAATGTTATAGAGCCCTTTCATATCAATTTATTTAATATCGACAGCTAATACGAAAAATAAGAAAGAATCTTGTGCTTTTTTTACATATCTTTTCCTCTCGCATATTATTCTCAAAGCATTAGGCTACAGTAAATTTTTGTTCACATAATTATATCATATAATTAATTTAAAACAATTAAAATTTGTATTTTTAATTAATTGAAAAATGATTTTAATATAATTAATATATAATTGGTAATTAATGATTATACATTTGACATAAATAGAGTGCAATAATATAATTTTCCTCTCTCTTTGCAAATAAAACTAATTCATAAAAAATATCGGAAAAAATGATGGAAAATGAATTAATTTCCAAATAAATTATTTTATAAAGGAAGCAAACTTCAAAAACATATAATACAAAGAAAGAATAATTAAGTAACATTTGTAAAAAATTATTATTTCTGTTCATATATGTTCATTGTTCGAATGCTTAATATAAATTTGTTATTCCTTTTATGTAAAGAAGAAAAGAAAGAAAGAAAGAGGAGTAGAAAGAGACTTAATAATTTTTTTAAATCATATTAGATCCATTAAAATCTGTCTTTAGCTGCTCTCGAATGCAAAAGAAAGTTTGCTATAAATTCATTTATTATTCCTATCCAAGAGATTCGCGAATGCATAATTTGATATTGATTATAGCTTCCTTTATGCACAGACTGATAGAAGTTTCTTATGAAATAAGTAACTTCTTATTAAGAGAAATATTTCTTGCCAAGTCGTATTAAGCTTAACGGTTGATTATACGACACGATAGCGCGGAGGTTTTTTGCGCTTCGATCGATCAGTGCGGTTTGCATCGCGTTTATCCGTACCAAACTAATTATAATAGAGCCCGATTGGTGACCCAGTTGCGGCGATCGGTAACAAGAAAGAGGCGTCCTTTCAATATCTCGAGAAAAGCAATTTCGTAATGTCAACAGCTTATACTTTGCCATTCAATTTACATTTTATATTTCCCACAATTTGGCACAAATACTTTTTATTTTACACTATTTTTTTATTTTATTTTTTATTTTCTTATGTTACACTATTATTTTACACTATTTTTTTTTTAAAGAGAGAGGCTATCTTTTTTATTTACACTGAATTATTGCATTGAAAATGAAACTGACAAGAAATAAAAAAAATATTTTTAAAATCATATATACATAAGATGTGAATTTTAATTTGGAGATTTTGTAGGCAAGTCAATTTTTACACCGTGACCGATGGATGGTTTAAAATAATCAAGTAAATTTACAGTATTACGCGTATTACTTACACCACTAACTTCGGGACGATTCAATGTTATCCGAGGTGTTTTAGCGTGATTGGATGCCGCCGATCGGCGAGAAACCGAATTCGAGGATATTGCAACGAACGGCGACGCAAAGCGATTTCGAAACTAAGACATGAGTAGAGAGAGGTAGAGCGATTAGAAAGGGATACCTGAATAGATGCGATCCTTTGGGCGTAACATTACTCTCTTTTGAGAACCACGATCGAGACTGATCGAGCGAGTTGTAAGCATTTCAGGAATGCGATGAAAAATTCGAGAGATTATTTTCACGATAATTTCCCTTCGAGTTTTTTAAGAGATTGAGAAAAATCTATGGTTACTACTATGATTCTACTGACATAACTCCGTTTATATATTTTTATAATATTATATATGTTTCTATTTTAATGTATAAATTTTATATTTTTTTATAATTAAATCTTTTAGATAAGAATAAGGAGAGAATAATGAAATATTTTATATTGCATAGTTTTATAAAAATACTACTTTTAATATTTTCTTGTCTTGTTCGCGCGTGTACTAGAAAAGAAAATATTTTAATATAACTGTCAATTTTTCTGAGGCATTTAATATAACTCTATATTAATTATAAACAGAGTTGGAAAGACCAATTAATGGAAAAAATTCATGCTAAATTTCGATCATTATTGCCCTTGACTCTATCCAAGAGAATAGATTGACAAAAACTATAAAAATAACTAATATACAAAATATATTTATATGACTTTATGCAAAGACATTTTTGCTTTAATTAATAAATACTAATCACTATAATTAAAATAATGAAATTAATCTAATAATAAAGTTTTTAATTCAAATTAATGTATGAAATTTTTAAAATAAAAAGAGACATAAATATTACTAAATTTTATATTAAATTTTAGTTTAATAAAAAAAATACAATAGTAACAGAATTAGCAATTTTTATCAATAATATAAATTCAGTTTGTGTTTACCTTTCAACATTTTCTAACAAAAAACGAATTCACTTGCTACATCGATTTCTAATCTATTTTGAACGGAATTTATTTGGGATAAAACTTAAATTAGAAAATACTCTATCAACTAGATTGAAAAATATCGATGAAAAAGTTTTCTATTTATTTTAATTTTTCATAGAAAAAAGACTAGTTTCGCCAATTTTGGCTATTGGCATGGATTTTATCCCAAAAATAAAACAAAGTTTTGCCAACTCTAATAGTATATCTAAATCCAATAAATACAAGCAGGTATATTACTATTTAATAAATATACAGTGAACCGTAGCCCATGTAATTTAGCGGAATTGATAAACAAACTCACGTTTTCCCGAGCTAACAAAATAACCGTTAATTGCGTAGATCTTGCATTTTGCAATTGTGCTCGAAAGTTGTAATGGCGCTTAATTTCGCTTCGAGCCATTATGCCTCAGAAACGTAGTGCCATTAGAAAAACTTTCGGATTAACACTGCTACGCGACCGCGACTCTAAACGACATATTGTTTCCCCTAAAGCGAATCGAAAATCGCGGATCGAATTAAACCGAACCGACCAATAAAAATTTCCATCTCTGCAAGATCCAATCTTCGATTACGTCGTGAAGAGTTTCCATAATGCGAGGGTTTTTCAGGATCTAACAAAAATATATATATTTGCTGAGAGAACAGACACGGCGTTGATTCCTTCGAATCCGCGAGTGATCTCTTACGGTACGGTGCAAAAATCGTCTACTGCGAGTTTTCCAGCGAGACGCAGCCACTTTAAGTCGGCGCGTTCGATCGATTGGCAATTCCGCGGCAAGAGAAGATGCGAAAGGCTGCTTTTACTTCGTTCGGTGAGCCGAACGACTCTTGCTCGCTCTTGTAAACGGATTGACTCCTTTCTAGATAGTAAAGTGTGCACCAGCACGCCGGTGCCTGTAATTGCTCCTCCTTCGAAGCTGCGAATGAACAACGGGGAGAAAAGAAAATCTCATCTTTTGTCTCTGCGCACTTGTATGTGAGTGTAATATATGTACATCGTATGTTATTTGCAAAATATATATTGCATATTTATCTTATCTGAAAAAAGACAATTCATTGAAACAGAAAAAATAAACGACACCGGCTTGTACGGAATTGTATTAATTCTTAATTTATTAATTGATAAATTAGAAGATTTTAATATAAGATTTATTTGTTCATATATAATATTATTTCCCCTATATACATTAATATTGATTCTTTAAATATAAAGTATATTTTTTAAAGAATGTATATCTTTCCTTTTTGTTCGAAATAATTATATATTTCTGACAGATTACAACTGACGTGAGAAATAATAATAAACAGTATGAACAATATTTTTTCTCTTAATAGAGATACAAATGGAAAAAAAACAAAAGTTTTTTTCATAAAACAGTTTTCTTTTTTATGAGAAAACAAAGTTTCTTGATTTTATTTAAATATTGATTTTTATTTTTTTCTAAATATGTAACTTTATATTTTTTCTAAATATTTAACTTGATTATTGATTTTTCATTTTTTAGATTTAAACTGGTTACCACCATTTGAAATATAGATCATGTTTCAATTCAGCTATACATTATGTAATTATCATTTTTAATTTGAATTCTCTCAATTTAAAATTGAATTTTAATGAATTATCTTCATTACAGATACAAAACCACAGTTTGTATTTTTTCAAAATGCACTTTAGTTACTATTTTAATATAATAAAAAATATCGAGTATATTAGAAAACGAGTATATTAAAAATCGAACTGCAACCTTGATTTTTTTCCTAATTTATTAATCTTCCCGTCTAGTAATCTGTCTAATAATTTATCTATTATTGTTTATTGTTAGACTATAACATGATACATGAAATATTACGGACCTTTATAGCGAAACTGCCGATCGTATAAATCGAGATGTGCATTTGCTTCGGAAACAAAGTTTCGGAAGGACCAAAGTTTGTTTTAACATCCTCGCAACTTTCGCTCGGGCACGATTCGCACGCGACCGACCGCCTCAGTTTCTCGTGTTCCTAATTCCGGTGTCGGTTTAATGGCGAGCGTACGTCCGCAACAATGTACTTTTGTCGCGGTCGTATCGGTTTATGGTGGTCGCGACGTGACCGCCGACATTGAACGTGCAGTTTTCCCGACGACATGTCACCATGTTCTCTCCTATGTGAGTCGCAGCGGTTAGACCACCGACAATTTAAACCATTATGAGACAGAACCGTGAAATTATTATCTCGCGAATCTCTAATTTTCCATTATGCGAACAGACACCTCGAGCATCTCAAGCGTGAAAAACAAAAGTTCAAGACAAAAAAAGGTAACGTTGGTCCTACTAAAAAAATTACTTAAGTAATTGCTTCGTCAAAGATGATGAGAATAAGTCTAGAGAAAAGTTTGATTCTATAAACAAAACATTAACCTATGTAAAAATTTATAAATTTTTTTAAAAAGAAAAATAACGCTTTATGCTACATTTTGAATGGCTTTTTCGAATTTTAATTCTTTCAAACAAGAGCCATTGATGAGTTTGGCGTTATAATATAGCATAAAAGGAATACCTCGATTCATCAAACAGTTTGGAACAGCTAATCGCAAAAGAGAGCATCGCAAATTCGCGAGTAAGCTAAATCGCGACAGTAATGCACGGAATGTGTTTTGGTATTTCGCGGAAAATTCATGAATGCCGAATCTCGAGTCGCACGCTCGTATTTTGTATCGATACAAAGCTCGGAACTTTGTCGACGCGATTCATCATGGGATGTGTATGCATGCTCTCGATACATGTATTTACATATAAACCAAAAAAAATTAATTTTTTATTAAAGAGACAACCTTCCTTCCATCCCATATATTTAATTAATGACACTTTATTTGCAATTTTCCAGCTTTTATCCTTAAAATTAAAAACAAAAAGCATCCAAATATTTTTCAAGGCTAAAATAATTGCAAATAAAGGCAACATATCTTAATAAAAATAATGATTGATTTCTCAAATATACGTATCGAGAGTGCTTCATAAAATATTCATTTATTCGAAAATGATGACAAATTCAACATCGATGAAGCAAATGCGTATCGATATTAGACTTCGCTAATTTTCGAATGTATCCGCGGAATCGCGTCGACGAATCGAGAGCAATAACAGCAAAGTTTTACCCATACTGATGCCAGAGCTGGACGGATCCTCATTCTTGGCGCCCCAGCTGCCAGCCAGATTGAGCGCCAGCAGCGGCCGTTCCTTCAGCAACTCGGCCACCGAGGCCAGGCCCTCGCATCCGCAGCCTAAATGAGGCAAATGCAGCGCCTGCACTTGAATGCAGCCGCGAAGTGCCTCGCAGACCCGGGACACTTGCTCGCCGGACAGATTCATGTCGAGCACCAGACGTGACAAGCTGCCGGAAGCGTGACTCAGGCCGCGACAAAGAGCGTTCACCACGCATTCCAATCTGAAACCAATCGCATTAATTACGTCATTAATAAAATACTGTCTTAGACACATGTTAAGTGATTTTAAATAACGGACAAGTATTAGAATCGTAAATAAAATTTAAATTATATATTTTTTCTTATTAAAGAGAACGAAAAATGATGTTTTCATTTAGACGTCTATTTAGATTTTCCAAATCAGATGTAGGAATAATATGCTATATGAAAGAGTAATAATTAAATATTAAATTATTTTTCTAATATGACTTTACAAAAAAAAAATCAATAGCTTTGTTAAATCAAAATACTCAGATATATTAATTGTCTCTCGTAAAATTTAATCATTTTTAGAGCAAGCCTTATAGACGTTATTATATTGGGTTATTAGGGAAGTGCGAGCTTTAACATTATGGTTGTTTCATGTGCATTTGAGCTTGAATTATGTCAAATGGAACACGCGCGAGTTTGATAGTTCCATCGGCGTGTTACGTCCCAACAAGTTGGAAAAACTGCGACGTACATGCGGTAATAACCGGGATTCGGGAAAAGGGGAATGCACTTCCGAAGTTTGGCTTTTACGATACGCACGCGCGACGCAATTCCGGATGTAACCGCACCCGGACCGATGTAAATTCGGTCTACGCCGAGTCAGCAGCGCGGAAGTTCGACGCGGACTCTCGTCAGCGTATATTTATGAATGTATAATGCGCATTTCACGCTGTCTATTCGCGGCGTTATTCCTCCGGTGGATCTCGACGAGCGTTGCGCAGATACATTACGCATTATGTAAAGTCCCGACGCTCCCTCGGGGAACCGTAAGCGAGAGCCTGGATTTTCTCGCGTGTGGGATATACTAACAACGAGAAAGCGGAAAGTGCGGGAAAATGTTAGCGTTGCATCGCGATTATTCTGATACTTGAAGATTAGTCTGTGGCGTTTCTTTATCTCTCTCTCTTTTTCGCAAATGAATTAGAAGAGGAGAGAGTTACCTCTTATTACTTAAACGATATTCATTATTCCTCTCTCTCAAGTATATATCCTCGACATCTATCACAATCTGAATAATAGTGTAAATTAAAAAAAAAAATTAAATATATTAGTATGTTAGTTGGATTTTAATGAAGAATTAAAATAAAGATTTTATAAGAGTGTAATCTTTAAAATGTTAAGTAGTAATTAATTTGAAAAATTTAACATTTTTTCCCCTTATTTGTCTTTTTTCCTTTCCTCTTGCCTCGCACTTTATTCATATTTTTTTTCTATTCTTCATATTTATTTCTTTCTCTCGATCTTTTTTTTTGCCATAAATTTCATCTCTATTTTTTTAGCTGGTTATATTACTGTGTCGAAACTTCTGTGTGAAATTGGTTGTTTCAAATTCGACACTCTCGCAAGGGAATTGCGGCTAAGATGCACAAACAGCGTATTTGCGAAAAGCGCAGAAACTGCAGTTAAGGGCAGTTGCAGACAGACACGATTCTCGTATCTCGATGGTAATATTAACTGGTCGCTTCTTCTGGATTTCGGAATCATCGTCGGAAAATACGCAGAAAGAATTCATACTTAGGCGGCATTTGCTATGCTGTGTGCAAAAAGAAAAAGGAAAGAGCGAGAACTCTCATGATGCAACTTGGCTACTTTGCATGCTAATCATTTTGAAACAATAAAATATATTATCATTCGAGTTATCTTTCCTAAACAAGAATATCCTTTAGAATATCCTTTAATAATTTTTTCAATAAACATAGATAATATTAAAATAATCTTATTGTGGAAACTTAAGATTTCTTCTGTATTTAAGATTTTTTAGTAAAAATAAAAGATTTGAAAAATGAAAAAATATTAAAATATTAAAATATTGCAAAGTTAAAAAAATTCATTACTATAGTATATTTTCCAATTGATTATATTAAAGAAATAGATATTGCTTATTCATTTATACTTTTGCATTTATCTTAGATATTTTTTTTGTTTTTCTTTAATAATTTCTTTCCATATAATAAACTTTCCATAAAATTTCGCTCAAAATTTATGAAATAATTAAAGAATTATTGAAAATTTACAAATTGTACAAATAATAAATTATATAAAATAAATTAATGAGATCGATATAGTAATATAGATTTCGATAATACATTTTCATGTGTGAGTATGGCTTTTATCGTGCAGCAATCGATAGCTTCAGCAGCATCAAATATAAGAGACGATGAACTTTTCATAGAAATATTCAAGTCGACGATAGCCCAATCGATTCCTATAGTTTGAATAGACAAAGATAGACGAAGTCGATTTTCGAAGCGCGTCGCATCGAATACAAAAGTGAAGGCTGACGTTATGGAAAGACGATAGAATAAAGCGTAAAGAGCAAGAACAGACTCGGTAGGGTGAAGGTTGAAACAAGGGGATGCGAAACAATGAGCCGGCCATCGAGAGAAAGAGAGAGAGAGAGAGAGAAAGCTTTCTACTTCGAGGCGAACGATAGTTAGGTGTTCGTCTTCTTTTATACCTCTGTTTCATAGTTGTATAGCGGAAAAGATACTCCTCTCGTGAAGCTTGAAGAGGCTTCCAGAGAAAAGGCGTATATTCGTTGAAGAAGAAGGTTGGCGAAGAGAGCAGGGCAAATGAAAATCTAGTTGTAAGATATCCTGCGTTTAGCAGATTATAAAAAGAAAAATATTTGCATTTGCCATGTTGCAAATATATAAAGATATATGATTCTTTTTCGTTAAATTGATTTCGATTCAAATTATTTATTTCCGAAAATCTCAATCAAATTGCTTGAGATTTGAGTTTGATTGATCTTAAATTTGATTTCGTCGAAATCTGTAGCTTTATGGAGAAGAATCGAGTTTGGCATGTACGAAGCAGCAAATAAAGAATAATACTGCGATATACACAATGGCGGAGAGAAAGTCTCCGGGGAAAAGCTCGAGGCAACGATGAAACCAAAGAGCTTGAAGCTGAAAGATTCAATAAAAAGGCAGACGGAAAGGAGAAAAAAAGGAAGGGAGTGGCAAATTCGGTCGTGAATTAAGGTGCATCTTGTCGTTTTCTTTAATTTTCCGTCGCGGCTTTTTCTCCTCTTTCCTCTTCAGGCTTTTTCTCGAGCATCTGCCCGTGCTCTTTAGAGTGCACTCTCATTGTTATGTTCCGCTCGCGTTTGTAATGGCCGAAAAAGCGGAAGCTCGTGCACCACGCTCGGAATATATAATTCGCGAAAGGCAATGTGTTGTCCGAGAAAAAATTCCTCGATAAAGAAGAAGATAAAGAGGCACTCGGCGCCTCTTGACTCCGGAGATGGATGAGAGTGAATTTTTAAGCGCAAAGCAAAGAGGAAGGTTTTGCGCACGTAAAATTAAGATGTCTATTTTAAGATCTCTTTTATTAAATCTCTTTTCGCGAAATGGCAAGATTTGTACAGGGAATACTAAATGGTGAATGCAATTACAATTTGCAAAAATTTTTTGTCAACTCGTGCGCTGTAAAATAAACGAAAATATGAAAAAAAAAATCTGAAAGATAGAAAAAAATAGGATGAGTTTAGGGAGATTCAAGATAAGGCGATGATAAAATTTACTGTAAACCGATCCTATTTAAATATAAGAAATATTTTTAGAAAAATCATGCGACAATCGTGATAAGAACATAATAATAATATTTTAAATTCCAGATTTTTCGAGATTTTCTTTAAAATCGAGATGATGCGACGGAGTAAGTTCATCGGTAAATCGAGAAATTCATGCGAAAACTCACCCGCAGGAATACTTTCTCCATTTCCTGAGGGACACAGACACAGAAAGGGAGAGTAAGCGTCTCGGCAGGATCGAAAAATATAAAAGCCTGAAGACTCGAAAGACGGTTACGTGTGGGCATACATAAAAATCTAGTAAGCTCGAGTTAAGTCAAGGAAACAAGAAATTAAAAATCCATCACGAGGAAAATAACGGAAACGAAAAAAAGTCTCATAAAGATCCTTTCAGGGATATCTTCAAAGGTTTCTTTACATACTGAGTATATGCAATAATCGCATGCACATGCATACAAAAAATATATGAAACTTGCTTTGCTACGTTCAATGAAATAGCAAAAAAATATGCGAAGAAATAATGCAAATTGGAAAAGTTGATATGTGGAATTTTATCTATGAAATTCGCAATCTAAGTATCGTAATTATCGTAATATAGATAGCAGTAGCCATTTATGCGAGAAACTTAGTAGTGCGAGTGTTTTATCGTGCAAAACTTTAAATTTTCTTCTCAATTATTATTCTTTAATAACAGGAAGAAATTAATGACGCTATTACCATCTGCTTTTTATTCCACTTTAAGAAAAATTCACGATAATGGCTTTTATCAGTTGTTTCCAAAATATATGACTTTCTCATTTTAAAATCGTTACTAAAGAAGAAAAGGGCGAAAAAGTGCCTACAAAAGCCTGTCCAAAATTTTCCCAACTTGAAATTAAATTTCAATTTTTTGGCTTAAAGTAAAGTTTATGTGACGTGTAAATTACAACTATGCAAATTTCTAAATGGGCCGAATCTCGTTTAACTTTTACTCTTATAAAAATTATAATTTTTATCTTTATAAAAAAATGTTTATCAGTCATTTTCTCTGGAATTCGGAAACTTGCGTATTCGTAATCTAGGCGTCATAAATTTTATTTTAGCCGAGAAATAAAGTTTAATCTCAAGTTGGAAAAATTTTAGACAACCGTAATCTTTCTCAAAAATCACAGGTAAAAATGATTTTCTTTAGTAAAAGCTCCCATATATGCAAGCGAGTCACGCAGCGATTGTGTATAACGCAACTCAATTCTCGCAAAGTAAACACATTTTTTCGACGTCTATTCACCCCTTTCAGGCGAAGACAAATATCCGCGCAATGAACCTTTTCGTCGCGCTTCGCCGCGCAACAAAACAGATTTTTCAATTTTGACGTCTCCGCGCGAGCTTAATGGAAATTTTAGGGGACAGTCGGCTGGTTTAACGATAAATTTTGATGATTTAATGCTGTGTATTAGCGGTGGCCAAAACTTTATAACATTCACACATTTACAAATTCATAATAACAAGTAATTTATATTATCTTTGATTAATTATGGCAAAGAAAAAATCAATGAAAATTATAGAATAATATATTAATTCATGATTTTTTAAAGAAAAATTTCGTTGCCGAAAAACATCAATCTATGATTGTTTCTTTGATGATTGATGAAAGAAATCTCAATATATGAATCTCTATATTTAATTAAAAAATGAATTGTTTTTATTTAATTAAATTAAATTAATTTTACTTAATTTTATTTAATTTTATTTTTTTCAAATGTTTTTTTCTTCTCTCGTATTGATTTTTAATATAAGAATCTAAAAATAAATCTCTCGCATTTTGCGCTTCTCTTTTCAGTACGGATGAGCAAATATCTCGACGATTTGTCCTAGTAAACTTCATAGCAACCGAGCACGCTTTCCGTAATAAGTCTTCGTCGTCGAGGCTATCGACGGCGCCATACCCGAGCGTCGTCGAAGCACAATAATACTGACACGTCTGCCAGGCTCTTTATTCTTGTGGCTATTGAGTCGCACGAGCGAATCGACTCGATGACTCGACAGTCGTAAAGTGGTCGGGTACTTTTCGACATGGAAGAAACCTCATCGTTATGATCTATTGTTAATTGAGAAATTTCACGGAACAATAGCGCGATAATTTTAGGCGAAAGAAAATTCGATTGTAAACAATAAAAAATTAATAAAATGCGTAGAAATACGAGTAAATAAGTGCATAAATAAATAAAGAAAGCAAATGGAAATGCTGTGTATAAGTTTTCCGTCGAACTAACTTTCCATGTATCTCAACAATGATAGTTTATTCCCTCGAAATGCTTAGTTGGCAATTTTATGAATTGTTCGATATATAGGAAAACGATCTAGAACTCGTCTCGCAAAGTGAACATACTCGTAAAACGACTTACCTATCATGGGCCGCTTCCTCGAGACAAGTGATGACAAGCTCGAAATCGTTGAGCTTCTTCTTGCCGAGCACGCTCTTCAGGTGTCCGGCCAATCGCTGTGCCTCGTCCGCCGGGAATTCTTGTCCCAGCAGTGATGTGATCCTGACAAGTTTGACGCTTTCGTTGCCGGCGAGCGCGTCGAAGAAGTTGTCGAGATATCGGGGATCGGACCCTCGTTCCACTTGGAACACTACCTCGAGCGCTTCGAGCGTACAAGCGGGACTTTCGAGAATCCTGGCCCATCCCTCTAGCTCTAGAGGAGACGTGTGAACCAGCGGAGCCGGTGGTCGTTCGTTGGGCGCGGGTCCGAAACCGGGACCTGCCCCGACCAGTCGACAGACCGCCGAGATGTTGCCATCGGACGCGCCAGCCGCCTTTAACAACGAGAACACAGCTCTAGGTGGCACTTCCAACGGGCATAATTGGTTCAGAATTAAATGGGTCTTGGGACCAAGCAGGCCGGCCAGGTGACTGATGATGCCCGAGGGCAGACCCTCCAATTCGCGGCGCAGAATATTGGCATACTGCGCTACTGAAGTGAGATAGTACGCCGCCAGGAACTCCGCCACCGCCGTGTGAATTGGCGTGTAGAGATCGGGCTTGCGTCTCTGGCCGAAAGTTAATCCTCTCGTCAGGAAACCGAGCCGCGTGACCTCGATGCCGCCGCCTCGGGCTCTCAGCTCGGCTTCCGTATAACAGCATCTGTTTTCCCGCAGAGCGGCCAAGGACACCTTGCCGAAGTCTTCGAGACGTTTTCTGCAGTGTCCCGGGATCTCTTCGTTATAAGGAATCGGCGGGTCTAAGCTTCTCTTCACGATGCACTTCACCGCCGCTTGTACGAGAGCGCTCGTCTCGGTCGGTAGACTTCCGGAATCCTGTTAAGTAAAGTTATATTTATAGACTAGGTCATTCCAGCATCTTTTATCTCTATTATTATACGGGCATTATATAATTTTATAATTTATTTTAATCGAGTTTAATCGAGCTAATAATTTTTAATATGCATATAATTTCTATTTCTAGGGGATATTCGGAGAATTTTGCAACTGCAATAAAATTATCGATGAAAGCGATACAAGTTGATCAACAATTATTCAATACTGTAAGAGAATTTATTGTTTTTTTAATAAAATAGAAAAACTTTGTTCATAAAAAATTTATAGAAATATAAATTTATTAAAGTAAATTTAATATTGTTAGAAAAAAAACTAATTAAGGTAATGATTATCTCATGTATGGATGTAAAATCATTAAAACTTATTTAGTGTAATTATAGAATTATAATCTAAAATATAATTTGATAATGAACAAACTTTAAATAAAATATAATTACTATTTGATGATTTAGAAAATATTTAAAAGAAATTCTGATTTAATCACTTTGCTTTATATTATCTATAAAGCAAATATAATATAATAACAATATAATAATAAAGCAAATATAATAGCAAATATAATAATACTGTAATAATAATGAAAACAAATATTTCGATATTTATGAAAATAAATAATTTCTACCTGGTACAAACAGCAGAGCATTATCCAGCCAAGGGGATGCTGGCCGAGTTGCCTGACGGATTGCGGTTGTACGTTAAGCGCCTCGAGGAATTCACAGGCCTTCTCGGCAATATCATTGTGAATAAAGTAGGCCACGCAGAGCCGTTCAACGTGCGGCCATTCGAGGCCGGCCAGATGGATTCTGCGCTGGACCAGGGGCGCGAGGGTGGTCGAGTTGCTGGGCGAGCACGTGACCAGGATCCTCGCGTCCGGGAAAAGTCGACCCTCCAGCAGATCGGCCGCATCGCCGAGAGACGCTCGGCCGCCCACGCACTCGTCGTAACCGTCCAGAACGAAGAGCACGCGGTCCTCCATCAAGTGCAGGGTGCGCCAGACCTGGGCGACCGCGTCGCCCAACGCGGCCGTCCTCGGGAATAATTCTCGCGCGAGATAATTTAAGACGGGACTGCCGCGGAGTTCGCGCAGCGGCACGATAAAGGCCAGAGCGGGGCCGTCGCTCTGAGTCGCCCATTGATGCAGTAGTCGTAGACAGAGAGTGGTCCGTCCGCTCCCGGGGCCACCCTCGACGGCGACGCGTCGCGGTGCCTCGGATACGGTACCGTCACTTAACTGGAAGTAATAATTTAATTTATTATTCGCGACGTGATATTAAAAGTTAAACTTATTTTATCGTCGGTAGGGAAAAACAAAGTATTAATTCATAATAAAATATTTATATAATTAAATATGATCGAGTGTGATGTGGTAAAATTTGATTATATATCATATAATTAAAATATGATCGAACGAACGCAGATTCCCACGATGCCCGAATCATCTCGAATAAATCAAATTGAGATATTTAAAAAAAAATATTTAAAATTCCTAAAAGTAAAGATAAATCGAAATTGAAATATTTGATCTAGAAATAAGAAAAAAGCAGGCACACAGAGAGATAGCATTATATAGATCTTAATTTAAATTTCCATTAATAAAATACGAGAATGTAAATGCATTATGCATCACTCGTGTGGTTAAAAATACGAAAAGCTATCTCGCGAATCAACACGCGAGTCAAAAACAGCTGTAGACCAACACGAAATCAAAATAAAAAGAACAAATACGATGAATTACGGATTGTTTTCTGGAAGGTCGGAAACCGACCTTCGATAAAATGAACGACTCGTGGCGTGAAAATAAGAGAAAAATGCTTCGGTCACTTCGTGACCAGCTTCTCGGATACTTCTCAGTTTTCTGATCCCCGGTCTCCGTCCAGCCAATTAGAACTTAAAACATTTCCCACGAACCACTAATCCCCTTGAGATGGATCAGAACACTCTGGACACTTTATTGCTTGTTACAAGCGAGGTCAGCATTCGATACGGATATCTCGCGATATTACATCACAGTAGACAGTGTTAGCGAAATGTCTCGCCGCGAGAATCGATCTCCAATCGTTTCCTCTTACTTTGATGAATTTTTGAAATGAACTTTTTGCAAAATTCAATTTGACAGCGATGTAAAATGTATATCGTGTCTTTAAAATTTTATGATGAAAAATTCTGTACTATTTTGAAAAATGTACACGCAGTACATACGAAAATTAATTAATACTTCCTTCGTTAACAAAGATTAATGCCAAATATCGTCCGGAATAATGCTACCATTTTGCGTGAATTTAGGTAATCTCTCTAATAGGATAATAATTTCTGTACTCATTTAATGATCGGACAGAGAGGCAGCTTTCGGTGCTGGCGTTAACATTATGCAAACGATTAACATACATGCGCGATTAAACTTATAGCGGACATATTGCCGAGAGCAACACCGTCAACCGACTGTTAAGGTGTACCGTGTCGATTGTGGGAGTATACGATCGGCAGCCGATATCGGCAAACAGTCTCAATTCCATAATCGATAACAGTAATCCATAGAACGCGGAACACGTGGCGTTTGCCGGCCATTCACTCTGTCAGCAATAATCTATCCAGTCGCGCGCAGTACACAATCTGTTGGACGATAACAGTATACGACCATTATACAGCATGTGATTGCGACATCCAATTCGCTGGGATGCTGAGAATACAGAAAAAAAGCAGAATATAACTCTATTCATCGGGAATGTGTGTTTTCCTAGTATATTTTGAGTCTATAAAATATATATTTGACAATTTTTATTTCACGCATATCTTGCAGTTTGTTGTCTTTATCTCAATTGTACGATTTTAATATTTAATATCGATAGGTTAATACATTAAAAAAAATTGAATTATTAAAATATTTAACTTTAATTATTTATTCTTAAGTCTCAAACTAAAGAATTCTCTTAAAATAAAGTTTGTGGCTGAAATTAATTGATCCATGTTAATCGAAAAGGATTAATAAAATGCCGATAACATGATGCGAGTTTTTGACAAGATAATACAACAACGATGTACGAAAGATAGTAAGCTTGTTACCAGATATTCCGCTCAACGCATTCCTGTATCACGCGGAATCTACCTATCAATCCTTTGCAAAGATGCATTTGTTCCGATTTTCATTGCAATTAAATTGTGCCAGGAAGCGAGGAGAAAATCCTTTGTGATAATGTCGAAATAATCGCGTTGCAAGGAAAGGTGCAAAATTCTAAATCGACTTTCTCGAAAGACTAAAACGCATCTGTAAATGTTCTTCTGTAAATTAAGAGAATGTTAAAGCAGACATTCGATATTGAACATAGGAATAAAGTGGTATTTAATTATGATTTGACAAAGCAATTAATTTTCTGAAAAATAATATGAAGACAATTTTTATAGATTACTCAAATTTTATCAGTGCAAAAACTATTTTTGTTCCTTTAACATTAATTCTAAATTAAATTAAATAAAATTAAAATTTATATATGTATATAAATTTCTATATATAATAATTTATTATATTTTCTATTGTAACATATTTAAATATATATTATAATATATTTTATATTATAATATTATTATAATATACGTTATATTATTATATTATAATTAATATGTAATTATTTTAATTATTATACGCTATAATAATATTTATATTAATGCAACGCATGTGTCAAAATGTTCGCTATTTTCTCTTAACTAGATATTTCGAGAAAGAAGAATCAAAAACGGTAACAGTACATCGACAAATTTTCACAAAAGGATCAGCGACCGGCGTTGATATTCATGCGGTAGCACGAAAGATATCGCGCTTCATTCCGTTGTGAAAAATTTAAGAAGACAGTGATACAGGGAGCGGTGTTTCACAACGGCGATGTGTCTTTTCGCGGGCACATCGTGGAAAGAAACGCAATGAGAAAAATCCGCCGTGCGGAATCGTGCTAGCCAGAATTGCGATCGTTTCCAGATATACGTTTCACGTATCGAAAATGGCAAGCAACGATTGGATCGCAGGTCGATCTGTTCAGCAGTTGTTCTCTCCCCCCCCCCCTCTCTCTCGACTGACCGATTTTTATATCGATTTGATTCGACAAATCGATACGGCACGTATGCACAAATATTTCGCATTCCGCATTTTTCAACGGAAAAAGCGATCACTCGAATAATAAAACAAAAATCTCGTTGGCTTTAATTGTTAATTAGATCGTAGTCGAGATACGCGATATTCTCTGTATTTTCTCTTCAATTATGCGAAATTTATGAAGAGAAAATTTGCAATTATATATTATTTTTCTGTATTATTTTCACATCGCAAATTTGCATTCATCAATAATTTTAATTAATTATATATTTTCCATGTATTTTATTTATCGAAATTGAGAGAGAGACCGGCTTTTTAAAATTTTAAATTATCATTGTACCTGTACATTTTGCAATAGATTTGCGATGCTGCAATTTCATGATTGCACGAAGGAGCGAACTTTCAAGCGTCCATTAGCGAGTAGCGACCGCATAAAATTCGATTCTTTCTTGTATGTGAATATATATCCTGAGTAATAAATAAAACCGCAGACCGCCGTGTGTGAGTGAATGTCATAATTTTTTTATATAATAGTTCACAAGTCGGTCAATAAAATGAAATCGCTGATTTTTCATATTTTTTTGAAATTTTCGATACTCGATTCGAGGTCTTAATTGTTTGTTTTTTTCGACTATCAATTTCGATATATTGATTTCGGCAACAAAAGTTTTTCCATCAATTATATCCAATGCTGGAAGAATCGTTGTTTTTGCTCGTCATACTGATTCGCTGAATGAAATAATTTAATAATATTTAATAATATTCTTATACTTTGTCGCGTCCTTTAATAAAACCTCATTTTAATATTTAAAATATGGAAGAGATTAAATATGATAAAAGAATATTTATATGCGTCATCTTTTATGTGACAATAAAAAAGTTGACAAAGTAAATAATTAAATAATTAACATTTAATAAGAGATTACATTTATCCAAAGAATTTTTTTATTCAAATAAAATATTGTCTAAAGAATATTCTCCATTAAAAATGAAATAATTATCGTATTTATTTATTAGTTGTGTATTTTTAAAAACATATTTTATATGACAAGATTACAAAGCTCAACATACTCATATCAGAAAAGTAGAAGCTATATACATATGAAACCAAAGCGTAAAAGGCGCTTTCTTTAGACTATGGAATGAATAAAATATTATCTTGAAAAAAGTAACTTTTCTGAAGCATTTACTTTCTTTTTTACGGCGCTTTCTCTTTATGTCAGCTCTTTAATTTTTGGTGCACGAGCGAACTGTGGAATATACGTGACGGACGCGAGTGCATTTGGCGGTCCTAAGAACGATTCTGAACAGAATGTTGTCTACTCGACGGGTTTTCCTTTATTTTCACGGTGGAAGCATGTCGGTTTTATGACGCGAATTCATCCACCTGCACATGTAATTCCAAACCCGGTATATGTGAGCTTGTGTGCCTGCACCTTACTTCCTTCCTTCCTTCCTTCCTCTCCTACGTATGTCTCGACAGTTACGAGGCTCATTTTTCGATGCGAGCGTTTTTTTAGCGCATTGTCTGCATTTTATGAGTTTTTATATTATATAGCGACGAATTATTGATCCGGACAAGAGACAGATTTTTCCAAAAAATGTACTACCTCAACGAGGGCGCTTTTTCAGGCGATTATTGAGGATTTATTTTAATTTTTCACTATATATATATATCAAAAGATTTTCTGTCATCTATACTGTAATCTTTCTTATTAATTTAGACAAAATTTTAAGTTTAATTAATATATTAATATAATTATTAATTATATTAATATATTAATATATCTTAATACATTAATAATTAGAATTAATTATTATTTTATTAATAAATATTTTAGATTCTTAATATAATTCCTTATTTTTCTAAAGACTTTGCTTTTCTTATATGTCTACATCGTTATAAATAATCATTGTAAGATTATAAATTATTTATTTTTAATTTATATAAATTAAATTTATATGATATTAAATCAATATTTATATTATATAAAAAATATATCGAAAAGAGAGAAAGAGAGAAAAAGAAAGAAAAATTCTTAATCGTATAATTATTATAATGTAGGAGACTTATCATTTATTATTATGTATCGATATGGAATGCGATCTCGCTATTTGATGAGAAGAGAGAAAGGCTTTGCTCTTCAATAGTCGTTAGTGGTAGCTGGCTTTTCAATGATGATACGAACGAGGGCGGTTTCAAATTGCTCTTGGGAAAACGTTAATGAAGCTGAGCTCGACTTACCACGTCTCAACAAAATTACCTTGTTTCGTGATGCAAAAGGATGGCCTAACCGATCGGCATCTCGACACTGCGATCGAAATCTTTATCCGAGAAAGTTACAGAGAACGAAGATATTATCGCGGACGACCATTCATGAGACGTGGGAAAACGGCGAAAGGGATTGAAGTCATCTCCTATTCATCGTGATCAATGTGTCACGTACGTACACGTGTATCTTACAAGACTTGGATACGTCCAACAATTTATCTAAATCATATTTTATGACTTTACCGGAATTTTAGAAGATCAGTTTCGAGATTGAGCGATATAAATAATTTCTTATTCAAATAATAATTTAAGTAAAATTAAAATTTTAATATTATATTAAAAAAAAAAGTCGAAAAAAAAGAGAGAACTTAAATTCTTCATCATTTTTAACTTTAATATTAAATTTGTGAAAAGTTTATGTGCGCGCTTCTTTGCTTTTAATATATCCTTACAAAATGAATAAACTATTAATTTAAAGTTTATCAACATTTGAAAATTCAAGAAAAGTTTAAATTATTATTTACAACATCAATCTTTATCCTTTTACTCGTGATCGTTAAATTTTTCTTAATTATTTTAAATAAAAGGCATATAAAACTTATTAAAGTGATGAAACGTACGTCTTGCTTAAAGCTTTATCCTTCCATCCTCGTGGAAATCGATTCGACAGAGCAATTTAATCAAAACAACTATCCGACAGCGACCAACTGCGACCATAAATAAATCGCGAGCGCGCCGATTCGAGCGTCACTGCATTTCACTCGCGGGAGACTGCATCGAGAAAGCGGTGAATGCAAGAACTCGAGACAGCGAATCGCGGGGGGGGGGGAGGTAGGGGAAGGAAGTTGGCGGAACTTTTTCACCCTCCCTGCCATTCTGAACTTCAGACGACAACTTGGCTTTCACATTCCGGAGGGAAGTTGCCGGCGGCGACGGTGGCGGCGAGAGAAGCGAGTTTTCGAGTCTTCGACAGTCGTCGGAAGAGACGGAAGAGACCCACCACCCCCGCGGACATCCGGGACTCGACTTGCTGCTCGCTCGCGCAATTACGTAGTCGATATCATGCAAATCCGCGACTACCGTCGAGAGACCGTGTTCTGATAACGCGTGGCGCTCTCGCGGAAACTCGTGCATGCCACGTGGCACGTCAACCGGAAATACGTTTGACGTTTCCAGCACGAATCTCTAAGATTTTTGTTGCGTGCCTCAGGTATTATGATATGTAAGACAGTGTTTCTCAATCTTTCTCGATCGAATTTTATTTATTCCCGTGATTTCTTATCCGTCTGACGTTACTTAGGAGAGGAAAAGCAAACTATGGTCTCACTTCCATATATATTTTACATATGGATCTTTATATATAATATATATTAGAAATTTTTAATGTAACGCATAATATGCGTTACAATGATACGCAGCATTATAATATATTTTAATGGTTTAAAACACAAATATCCTATTTTTTTCTAATTGATATTTCTCAGAAATATTTTGAAATTTATATAATTTTTTTTAAATATTTATATAGATTATAAATATATTTATATTTATATAAACTCAATATAAATTTTTTACAATATTTTGTGTTTCAAGCCATCGGTATAATTTTCAAAGTACTCACCCTGACGGGGGCGAAGATCTGGTCGGGTTTGATGTTCTCTAAACGATGCTCCTGCTCGCTTTTATGCACCAACTGCAAATGTGGCTGAAAGTGCGCCGGACACAAGGTACCGAGAGGGAGCGGGGAAGCCCATGACGGCAGATGAGGTGGATCGCGAGTACCCAGCTCCCTGTAGAAAGTCTTCAGGAATCTGCAACGATATGGTTCGAGGAAATATTCAATCTGTTCGTACAACGGAAATTCTTCGAGCGAAGTCGAAGAGCGGGGGTGCACCGGATTTCGGGAGATGCCGGAGATGGGTATGATGAAATAGTTTCAATGCTCCAAACAAGATAGATGGAGGAAAATTGGTTATCGGGATTCAAAATTGTTGAAAGTATAAGGGGAATTGTTGAAAGTATAAGGGGAATTGTTGAAAGTATAGAAGGAATAAAATGAGCGATTTAATAACTTTTAAGGTGGACTTTAATTCCAGAGTAATTTATCTATTTCTGCTTAAAATATTATTTATTATTATTAAATATATTTTTTCTATTCTTTTCGATATAATAATAATACCGAATTTTATAATCTAATCTATTTCACTATTTTACATCGGTATGTTATTTTAATACTGCTATAATTAAATTCATTTTCATTATTATATCGAATGATTTTAAGTGAGCAATATTTTTTACAGGAAAGATAAAAAATTAAATTTGATAAACTCGATAAATGAAGCAGACTAAGTATCAGGTGAATATTCGACATCATTCGAAAAGTGCAAAGAGTTCTTGTCAATTTCACGTGATCTTCCATTTATCGGGTGATCGGTAAATTTCCCAAGACGACAAAATGGTAATACGAGCAAGATGTTGGATGATGCATTCGTGTATACCTCTTGCCACAGAGATTAATAGATACAGCATTGAAAGCCCGCAGGGCTATGAAGGTAATCAGGAGAAGAACATCCCGAAGGGAAGCGAGGAAAGCCTGTGAGGCTTTTACGACTTCCGGGTGATCGGTCTTAAAGCTTGTTCTGATTTCATGAAAGTCACTAAATAGGATACCTATCTTCCACACACGACGGCTTTCTTGATTCGCCTCAATAAATATTTCTAAATATAGCAAATGTGGTTCGCTCAAATACTTGTGCACTTATAATTTCAAACACTTCCACCAATCGTTTTAAGATGCTAAGGTCGATTAAGTTTATAAACCTGAATTTAATTAAAATGTTAACATATTAATCATACTATTATAATTGCACGAAGAGAAAAATTTATTTAATTATAATTAGTATTCAATTCACGTAATGTCAGATTAATTAAAAATACAATTTTAACGCAAAATTATTTGCGTGAGAAAATTAAATTTTAAAAAGCTCGGAAGAAAAGTAGAATAAGCTTATACGGTATTTAAATAAAAAATTGTACATAATGTAAATTATATATTCTTTCAATTTTGAGTGCTTTCTCTGTGAGTGCTCTCTTTGTATAATAAATATAATTGCAAAAGTTTATTAATATTTATAATTTTAATTGCAATAAATTTAAATGTAATCCTCAACAATATAACGGATTTTGGTTCAAGAATATCTGCAATATTTAAATTAATTATTAATCATAATTATAAAATATAAATGATTACACATTGATTGTCCTGATTTATTGAAGCACATCAATCTATGTGTTCCTGATAAATCGCTTAGAGAATCGATTATTCTTTGTTGAATGTCGTCCTACTTCCTATGGAAAGTATAAGCCAGTCAATTTATGTATGTGTTCGCTGATAAATGACTTGTTGGTGCAAATTGATTTCTTTTACACAGGACCAAATTCAATTAAAAGAATTTTATCTCGTTATTTAGTTTAATTATTATATATATGAGTGCTATTATCATATTTAAACTGTTATTGCACTTAAATTGTTACTTTTTATCGATATCTTTTTGACTAAATAAATAATTAAGAGTTCAAAAATATTGCAAAACGATCTAAAATTGAAATTCTAAATTATAATCGCGATTAATTATAATAAAACGAGCAACATTTCGACATAAAATTTTCCACTGTACGACGTCGTATCTATTTATATTGAGTAAAATTATCTCCGCGAGAGGCTCGTTTCATCCTGAGAACAATGCAAACGCAAGTATCAACGGACAAAACACGCTTGATGGAATTAAACTTTCTGAGGACGACGATTCCGCTCTGCAGATATAAGGAGGATTCCGTCTCGTAGGAAGAGAGCCTTGCGGATAGTGAACTACATTGAGTGACTCACCTTAACAGTCTTCCCAGGGGATCCCTTTCCGGGGATGTGGGCCCGCCGAGGCCACTTCCGGCGAGTCTACGCGAGGATGCGCGCGCGCTCGATATGTATGCGGCCGGCGCGGGCGGCGGGCTGCAAGGTGGACAACAAACGGGGCTGCTACCCCCCGGGGTCGAGAGCGTATAACTCCTCTCCAGCTCCTGCAACAGACGATGCAAACGGCGGTTATGCAACTGCGGAACCTCGGGCTCGCGACATGACGCGAGTTGAGACATGCTCGAGTTACGTTCGAGGGGACTCGAGTACCTCGAACGTATCTATTTTCATCATTATTAATATTCATTTTATCATTCGAGTAATCGTCTATGATATAATGATTTATAATTAAACATTCAAGAAAGAAATAGTAAAATAATATATATTTTAAGATTCAAGGAAAATTCAAGATTTGATGATTTAAACTGTTTTGAATTCCAAAAGTAGAAAATTTGGAATTTGAAATGATGGAAATTAAATATTGTGCATTCCATAACTTTATCTGTTCTTGTCTATATTTTGTTAAATTCAGGAAGGCAAAGAAAAAAATAAAAAAAGAAGGAAAGATCTTATATCTGCTACAGTTACATTTCTCTATCTTGATTTATGTTTTACTTCTCTCCATTTTATTTCAGAATAAAATAATTAAAAATAACGTAAAATAATATTTGTGAAACAGACTTGAGATATATTTACGATATCGACAGATATATTTATTTTACAGATATGTTTATAATAAAATTGAAATTTTATAGTTAATATTTATTATAATATTTATTGCAAAATTGCGCACGCACGTGTTATTATCGACAATTAATTTATACAATTTTAATAAAAAGATAATGTTAAATAAAAGTTAAAATGTTTCATTTTATTAGTGATTTAATTTTTTCTCCATTATCTGTTAATTCACAATTTTTCACGTTTATCCTAGTTTCTAAAAATATTTTTAAAAGATCTTTCCATTTATTAGGATGATATTAGAATTAAAAAACATGAATAACCTCCGGAATCGAATACAAACTCGGCAAACGAATGATCGCGTGTTACGATTTTCTCGAATCGAAATGTTCACAATAGAAAGACCAGTTTAAGATGCGAGTACGATCGAGCAAGGAATCGAATTTACGATTTCGAGGAGAGTCGTTTGCGAGGAGCGAAGTTCCCGGCTCTACGTTTGATCCTCGCCGTTTTCGGTGGTCTAGTAAACCCAAGGATTAAGTTTCGAGAAATTTTCAAGCGATTTTGCGAAAGGTCGAACTTTATCGCGCGCGTGTGCACGCCTTCACGCTGTTAAAGGAACTCGGAGATTAAACTTCGGAAACTGAACTAGACTCTCGAGATTTACGAGAAGACCAATGCACTACACACATACATATTCCGACGATGTGTGTGTGCTTCTCTTTTAAATTTAATTAATACATACTAAAGGTAGTTTCATTTTTTAATATTGTGTGGCTAAAAAAACTGCTTTTAAATTTAGAGAAATTTATAAATTCGAAATAGAGCATTTTTATTCATAAATAATTAAAAAATCTAATAACTTCAATAATTAGATTTTTTTTGTTATTTATGAATAAAAAATTAGTCACGGATGATTACTATCAAATTTATAAATTTTTCTAAATTTAAAAATAAAACAATTTTAAATTATTAAAAAATTAAAGATTTAATAAAATGTTTTTAGATTTGAATGATTGTGTAAACATTACATTGGATTTCATGATAACATGTTTGGATACATTTGATTAATCTCGCTTTTTGAGTTTTGTACAGAACGATTACGATTTATTGTAACAAGGATACGCATTATTAAATCGAAATTTTCATCAAATTCGATAAATGGCATATAACTTTGATCGCGCAAGCTTATTACAGCTTCCGAACGGGAGCAACTTTCGTTATTAACGTACAACGTTTAACTTTCTGACGGCAAATCCGAACGAAATCAAAGCTTCTTCTTTCCTCGTCGAGTTTCTAGGAATTTGCAGCAGGAGATCGTTTGAAAAAGGATCGGCAACTTTTTTTTTAGGAATTTGCAGCAGGAGATTGTTGCTTGAAAAAGGATTGGTAACTTTTTTTTCTAGAATCGATTCGTTTGTACGGTCGATCAAATGCGATTTAAAGTATCGATCGTCTGCAATTAATTAGTAGCTCGAAGCCGCTAGTCGGCAGATATTCCTTTAATTATTCGGCTATATATACATCCACGTGCGCTCGTTTGCTTCGTTTAAACGAAAAAAGTGATTCGGAGAGCTTTCGGTGCGACTAAAATCCTAGGCGGTTAATCCGGAAAACAGTACATTCGAATTGCCTCAGCGATTCCATTCAAATCTTCCTTTCTCCTCGCTATTTATGCAAGCTTTTCAGTAAAGATGCTCTGTAACAAATAGTTAATTAATGTTTCATAACTATTCCGTGTACGATCATTACTGCAAAGTATTTTAAAATTCAATTTATAAAAACCTATCGTTTTGAACTTTGTTTTTATGAAACAGCTGTTTTCACTACGATTACTTTAATAAAATAATTTCATATTTCGAATTATCTCTCGGCAGCAAGGGTTATGAAATAAAACTTCAATTTTCATCCTTATATTTACCGTTCATCGGGATGTACAACGTGATGTGTTTAAAATGCGCAAATGCATTTTTTTTTCAAACTAAGAAGCGGAAGAAGGACAGGACTTGGCGTCGATTAAGCCTTGATAATCGCATTACTCTCGGATATTAATTCCGCTTGAAGGCAAGGCTGCCTGTAACGACCTTCACTGAGCCGGGATGTTAATTGATGAAATGAAATAACGAATAAAGTAGAGAGTGATCTCTCTTTCACTCTCTTTCTCCTCACTTAGGAATCCTATTAAATTCTTGAAAACGATAGAACTTTTGCAATCCGATTACGGGGATAATAGTACATCTTTATTAACGTACCTTATTACTTTCCTTCCCGTATTCTGTTCTATCCACTTTATATTCGTTATGTATATAAGATTTTTATTCTATTAGACGCACATCTATTTATCTTAATAGATTCTTAAATTCTGTGCTGGTTTATTAATGCTACTCTCCTAAGTGTTTCTATCCATACTAACGTCATTTCTCTTTCTTTTTAAGAAGTACATTTACTACAAAAATATAATTAAAATATTAAATATAATTAAATATAATTGAAATTATTTTTTTTTAATTAAAAAATTTTTTTTAATTAAAATTATTTTATTTATTATAAATATAATTAAAAATTAAAATTAAAATAATAATAATAATAATAATAAAGATTTAAAATTTAAAATTTTGGTTTATACATTTTATTATACATTATTACACAGATTATAGGCATAATCAGCTCACTCTCCCGCGCATCGCCGGGAATTTCTAGGCATTCTCTGAACTTTGTTGGGGAGTCGGGAGGGTGAGTTTTCTCGAATCTCGAACACAAGGAGCCGAACGTCTAAAACGGGATGCGTACAATGGCTGTCGAATACCGCAAAACTATAATACCGGAACGGAATGGAACGAAAGGGGGAAGAGAGGAGGGTTGGACTCCGACGATCGAGTTGCAGAGAGGGCATAAAGGGAGAGGTGAGTGCCGGCATTAATCCGAGATAATTGCAGCCACGGTAAGAGACGACAAAGGAGGGGAAGGGATCGTATCCTCCACGTTTTCGATGCAGGCACGCGCCTTCTCGCGAGCGGATGAAGGCGGACAAAGGACCGCCGCCCTTTCGGTCGTTTCACCCTTCGTCGCGGGATGCTTTGAGAGAGGAAAATTGCGCGTCTTCGTTCTCGTTAGCGCGTAAGATTACAGGTCGAAATTATGCGAGCGCCACTCGCGAGAGAAGAAGTCGGGACGAAGTCGTCTCTCGCCCACGCACGGGATACACACGCCTACATCTGTGTGTACAGCGTAGAATTTACTTCGCAATTATCCGCGGGTTACATTAGCCGTTGTTTAAGCGAGGGTAACGAGCGCGACTAAATTTTCCGAGTGAGTCTAATAAAGTTATTATTATCTAATTAAGCGCACGGGCTCATTACGCGAGAATAATTTAAAACGTGCATGCAGACATACATTCGACTCCGCACTACGTAATGCCTAATAATTCTTTATATTCTCTCGACATTCGGTAAAACGGCCGCAAATTAGGGCGATAATTTAACCACAAGAGTAGAATTTTTCTCTCTTTTAGAAAATGCACATTAACATATCAATTATTCTAATTAAATTCATTAACATGTAAACATCGACTAAAGAAGCAAAATCTATAAGATAAAGACTATTTGAGTCGAAGATAATACTTGTGAAATATATCATTTAAAAATGACATTTAAAATATCATTTTTATTATTTATTTAAAAAATCAATAAAGCAATATCTTTATATATATTTATAATAGACGTGTGAGATTTTTACTTTATCATCCTTTTAAAAAATTAAAGTATTTTAAAAATATCGATGATAAATACATTATATTGAAAGAAGCAATTTTTTTATCATTTTCCAATCATTAATATAATTTAATGTCTTCTCTCTCATTAATTTTTTCGAGATACTGCTCTTGTACGTATTAATTTACTTATCGGTCGTATTCGTTCGTCTGCATGCAAGTGCATTTCAATAAAATTCATTTGCATTTAGAGTGATGCGATTATATCACATTCGCTGATTTGTTTAATTAATTAATCAAGTTTTATCGTGCTCAGCGATTAATTCACATGTTGCGATCAAGTTGCGACGCGAATTAATATAAGTAAGCCACGCGTCCCAGATACTCGTACATCGCATTTCGAATAACCGATGAGAGAATATTCATAAAAGCATTACCGCTCGCGCTAATAGATAGTGCCAGGGCATACGAAGGTATGAGTAATTGAAACCGCGTAATTAGTAAAACGTGCTCAGCATACTCGGCATAAGCAAACGCATGATACGTTTCAAAGATACACCGGGCTGTAATTAATGCCGTATTCACGATAATACAAAGAACAATAAATAACTGAGGAATTGATTTATACATGATTGATTTTTTTATACACGAGATATATTCCAGAATATCGTGAGTCCTTTTCCCATATTCTTTTTCTCTATTATAGCAATACCAATGCAAAATTCTGACAAAGTATAATCGTGTAAAAAAAGTTCCTCTCTCGTAATTAAAAGT